TTCCGGTCGTTTTTTGAGTTTCCAAATTTCCAGATCTCAAAAAGAATTTGAAATAATTACATACAAAATCACAAGTATTGAAGGTCAAATATACGAAAAGAATAGATGTCCTCAAAATCGCATCACGAACTATTATCGGTAGTTTTAGCAGTAATATCGGTCGATTGCCCTTGTTCATCTTTTGTTGGTGTCGTCATTTGTTTGCCAGAGGAATTTTCGTCGTTACTAAGAATATGAATGAAATTCGTTCTACTTTAGAAACAATTTCGAGTTATTACAAGAAACAAAGAAGAGTGAATAATAATAGACCTTTTGCTATTTTCCGTATTCAGATCACCACCCTTCTCTTCAATTTCGGCCTCATGTACTAGAGAACTTTCTTTCACGGGTGATGAATTGTGAGTAGTAGCTGCGATGGCATTCGCATGAGGGATGGTATCAGGCGATGGGTGTTGAACACCAACCGGACTAGATGTCTTTCCGGCTTTTGAAAGGGCATAGTCACCAGAGTCAAAGTACTTGCGTTCCTACATAATTACAATTTATATAAATATTATTATCTATCCGATTCAAGGTAACTACAGAATTCCAGGGAAGGATCTCGTGAATAAATGAATACCTTCAATTTGTGACTCAAAATATTTTTGCCCGTTGGTAACTTGCCGTACAAGCGGAAAAGCTTTTTTTCTTCTTCGGTTAATTTCTACAAACAACAAATAGATTCAGTCTCCCATGGTAAATATTTTATTACTCTTTCTCACGATGCATCGAAATTACTTAGTTGTATGACTTTCACTTGTATTGTTTACTGTTGGTAAGTTGACTTACGTCTAGGTCAACCTTGTTCTGTCTTGATGGAAGCATGTTATCAATTCTTTTCTTTCGATGGGAATAGTAAAACAGGTAAACATCAGATTATTCTCGTTTGGCTGCCTATATCATGCTAGTTTGGTTTCATGATTGGTTCAGGGCGCTCCTGAATGCATTTTTGTTTCACAAATATGGAAATTGCCAACTGTAAAATGTTACCCAAACTTAAATAATTTTGCCTAAATTTCCTTTTTTTTTTTTTATAATTATAAATAGGGAATATTATAACACAGAATTTTTTTATAGAATTTTTATTTAAACTATTAATATAATAAAATTAATGAATTTTAAAATTAAAAAATTTATATCTTTGTAAATCAAAATTTTTTGATAACAATAAATTAAGAGAAAATCTTTTAAATAAATAATTTAATTTTAATTTCAAGTTATAAATATATGATAAAACTTTATTCTTAAATATAAATATTATATATTGTCTTTAGTATTAAAATTAACAAACTTAAATACTTAAAAATTTGTATTATCATTAAATTCCTTTATATATTTCTTATTTCTTATTGTAACTAAATTTTATTTAATTAATATAATATAGAATATAGTATAGCATGATTATTAATATAATGTAATAATAATATTATAATAATAAGTATAAATTTCACTATAATAATAAATATTATTGAATAATATTTTTACTAGAATTTATAGAGGAATAAATTTTGTATAATAGATTAAAACGCAATTTAGAGAAAATCAGTAACATGTAAATAATATTTGCAAAATATTGATTTTATTAAATTAAAAACATAAGTAATTACAAAATTAATTTTTTTTTTTATTTTTGAACATTTCTTTTGACTAAATTGATGTAAAAGACTACCGATCAACGATTAGGATTCAATCATTTAACCAATAAACAAATCTTGTGAATTCATTTTTTTAAAGATTAAAACATTCAAAATCCGGCTATATTATAATATTATAGATTTTAGACTATTTACAAAAGGAAAATTTTTGTCCGGATAAGAATCAATACGGAGAGTCCTGGTTAAAATGACTCGACACCTATACTGATTACAAAGTTGCAGTTAAAAGATCAAATTTCCCCCCCAAATATATAAAGTTTACTCTCTTGCACTGTTTTATATCAATTTTACGATCTCCCATAATATTATATAGAATAATAACACTTAGTATCTACAAACTTCAAACATTTGTTTGAATCTCAGTTTGAAGTCAATGCCTTGTATGACCCACTTAAAAAAATGCTGTGTGAGGTTTCTTTTTCAACAGTTCGATGCCTTCCATACTCGTCATCTTCTTTTCCCCCAGGTCCAATCCATTATTCCTTTTAATACCAAGTACCACCTCTTCAACTCTCATTAATTCCGCAACGAATCCAATATTTGGACAAATTCCGCTTCGGCGCTCCATCACATAATCATATGCGCGTTTCAGGGTCCATTTACGCGATTTAATAAGAAAAGCCAGAACAGCAGTTACCGATCGTGATTTCCCAGCTTTGCAATGAACGTACACAGGCATCTGATCTCTTTCGGCTTGTTCTGTTTTGTGTAAACAAAATCGATTCAATATGAAGCATTTGAAATTATTAGCTCTACAACTGAAGAAAAAATCATACCAATAAATGAGACAGCTATTTTCAAGCCACTTTCCACATCCTCCTCGACGGAATCTTTAACGTTCAACTTTAGATACTGATCGAACTTTTCATTCAATCCAAGTGTATCTGTGCATTCGAATGCCATATTTAGGATTCGTTTAATACCTTTAGCTTCAATTTCTTCGACTTCTTCCTTTTTTGATATTTCTGGTCCGAGATAAAGAAAATTTGGAATAATTGTTGAAACGATAAAGGTAGTCTCTGGGTGTGTAATAGGAGCTGGAGTACTTGGTGAATCAAGGCTACCATCAAGGTTATTCGTCTTTACAGTGTTCATAAATTGATTATGTGCTCCGGCAGAATATAATGACAAATTTTCACCTAAATTTATGGTAACAACATAAATCATTGAACATTATTAATGGAAAATCTTGAAGTACAAGAATTTATGTGCAATAATTTCTCACTTACTCAATCTTCTATCACTGTTTGTCTGTGGAAAAAGATACTGTAGTCCATTAGAGGCGCGTCTTCCCCTGGAGAGTTCAGATTGTTTTATAGCTGCTGGATCGGCTGGTGACTGTGGATGATTTTCGTCCGACTGTTTATCGCTACGTTTTCGTCGCAATGAATTCCTCTCGGTGTTTACGGAAAACAATGAATCTCGACGAACCAACCCTGGAGCCCCTTGACCTTGAATCTCGAGATCCATAGTAGTGCCTTCACTAGATTCATCGTGATCACAAGTTTCTCCCACTTCCAGCCCAGAAACGAGAAATTCTTTACATTTATCCCAAGAACGGAATGCTTCAAACCCTCCTTTAAGCCAATACACTCTACCCCTATGGATATCACAGTTTTCGTCGATATTTTCGGATGATGGTGTATGGTGGAAGCTTAACATTGCACGTTCCAGAACGCTTAATAATGTCCATCCAGAGCTAACTTTATCAGTTTCGTCCATCGTCTCATCAAAAACTATTATATCATGTTGATACTTGCCACCATCATCATGTACCCTATCGAGATATCTATCTCGTCCCTCAGGAGTTGTAATGAAAGAATCAAGAGAGAATTTGCTCATTGTTCCGCGACGATACCGTTTTATAAGTAAGGTTGGCAAATTTACATTGAATGACTCACAAATGTG